CTATTAAACATAGGAGCTTCAGATTTTCTTTGGTTGTTTAGCTCTGATGAGGGGCTATCCATCAGATCCATCAATGGGCAACACCCCCCCCCACCCAAACCACTACAATTTTAGGATGTACCTAGTAGCATGACATTTATTAGGAATAAAGACTTCTGAGTTTGGATGCATTTGTGTGTGCGGGGGTCATTATGTTACCGCTATGCGGTATCTAGTTTGGTATTATTTTGATGGTAATGAACACAGAAGTTGTTTGCTCGTGACCGAACCTAAACTTCTGCTCAGATCAAATCAAATGCTTGTCCTCTCACCTTGGCGATGTCTTTATGGTGGCTGAAATAGAGGAGAACGTCCAGGTAAAAGTAGAGGACAGGCTGACACAGCTCCAAGTCTTTGACGCGTCCCTGGAGAATGTCTAAGACTGGAACCATCACCTCCTCAAAGGTGCGCACCTCTTGGTCAGAGAGCAGGCCAGCAATGACCTCCTCTACAAATTCAATCACTTCCTCTGGATCTGAAACACACAGTCGCTTTGTAGGTAGAAAACTAAACATTTACCGTATTTATGTGAGTATAATGCGAAAGATTTAACCCCAATAACAATTCATAAAGTTAAGGGGTCGTATTATACACTGAAGTAAATTTTGATTAATTTTTTTTCTGATGTACTACCACTAATATTTTCTGGTACACACACACGTGGACAAAATAGTTGGTACCCCTTGCTTAATGAAAGAAAAACACACAATGGTCACAAAAATAACTTGAATCTGACAAAAGTAACAATAAATAAAAATTCTGTAAACATGAACAAATGAAAGTCAGACTTTCATTTGACGAGTGTTTACCCAAATTTTCAAGAGAGCAAGAAAAGGAAACATTCAGGCCCTACAGACCCAGTGCAGGACCTACGTGCTCGCTGAAATCCTTCCAGCAGCAGGTCGAGAAGCTGCTCGTAAATATTCTGGTTGACGTAGATCTCTGGGGTGAGCAGGACTGTTCGCGTGTTGGACACCGACAGGTTTTTGCAGCGGACGGCAAAGGAGAGTAACTTCTCAGGCACCTTTGTTACCTGATGCACAGGAAACAATGGATGATTGGGTTGTCTTTATGTTACAATTACTGATCAATATTCAACATAAAGATTTGCAAAGTGACTGCAATTAGGAGCTGCGATTAAACAGCATAGAGGAAAAAAATGATCACCTCCTCCTTAGCCCTCTGGTAACAAGCAAAAAGATAAGGGATGGCACATTTCTCCCCAGCATCGCGGTCAGCAGACAGGTTCACCGYGCTGCATGATGTCATATAGATGAGGTGGTTTCCTGGCTCCAACAGCAGCAGGCGGTTAAACAGAGCCTGAAGAACAAAAAKGGAAACATCCCAAACACACACAAGTTCAGTGTGTTCAAAGTAACACACACAGAGCTTGAAATTTATTTTTTCTAAAGCTTGACCAGACTTGAGTCAGACATTTTGTGGTTTACTCAACAAAGAGTTACATTAAAAAAAACAAATATTTAACCTGCTCTATGTTGTCCATGTCCAACCAGTCCTGTCCATCCAGGTCTGCAGCCATTTCCTCCAGGTAAACACAGCGAGGAGGGATCCCATTACCTCCTCTCAGACCGGGATCACCTAGGGATTTTAAAAGTACCAAAACCTTTATTTGTACAGCACATTTCTATCTCTTTCTATATCTGAGTCTTCAGATCAAATAACAGCGTCTCTGTTTTATCTTTGCTGAGTTGCAAGAAGTCGTGCGACATCCGGACATTAATGTAACTGATACATTGTGTAAGGGTGTTCAGAGGATCTGCAACAACAGACAATAAGGAAACTGAAAAGCAGCTGTGTAATTCAAATTTATGGTTATGTTTCTGAATGACAAGTGGAAGCATCCAAAGCTTGAATAAAAGTGAACCAAGAACTGAACCTTGGGGTACACCACATGCAACAACCACTTTGTCAGGAATCAGGATTAAAATCAAATGACATGACACCAACTGCCTCTAAGATATGTTCGAAACCAGTTAAGAACTGGACCAGAGATGCCAACCCAATTTTTTATAAGAGGCGCTGAGATCCAGAAGAACAAAAACGGGTCTATTGTTTTTTTTTTTTTATGGCCAATTTGAGACAGGCTTATAATTATAGATGACAGTTTGATCAAGGCTGCTTTTCTTYAGGAGGTTTATGAAAATCATTTTGTGTTAATTAGGGAAATGAAAACGCATAACACCTAAAAAAAAAACAAGTCTTTACATTTGGTCAACAATAGTCACAAAATACAATAAGGAAAAACAGCTGAGTATTAGAGTAAAAAGGACAGAGGATAAAAGCACAGCATGTATTTACAATGTTCAAAGGAGGAAGGAGCTGTGCAAAGACAGGAGGGGGGCTTTAATCCCACATTTCCTGAACATTATGACTCATCTTTCAGTAGTCAGAGTGATGAGAGATCCAGCAAGCAGACAGAGGGAGAGAGACCTCACAGCCACAAAGGCCTTTGTGCCGTCTTTAAGCACGGTGAGTCATTTGTTTCAGACTAGAAACTTTTATTGTGATTTTCAAGAAATTGAGCTGCGTCTCACAACAATGCACTCAGAGGAAAAATAAATTCCTCAACTACTTATGAACAGCGTCTCCATCAACAAGCATCTACCCTTCTGATGCTCTCTTTTTTTTTTCATGTGAACGTAAGAATTTCAGGGRAAATGAGATTTGCTGGTAATAGCTGACTAAGAAACTGGCTGACCTAACTTTGACCACGCATGCCTCAGAAAATTGATTCCCTGAGGTCCACTTTAGTCCTGACGCACAWTCATAAAAAGAAAAGTTACAGTAAGTAAACTATTTAGTATATCCGGTCTTTTTTGAGATCATATCATAAGAGAGGCAAAAGCAGCTAAAACAACCTACACAAAGAGATATTCTCAAGTTCTTGAAGATTTTATGAAATCCACATTACTCATATAATTGAGCGATGCTTAAGAGAACGCAACGTCGGACGAGTGTTTACCCAAGTTACGCACAGCAGTTTGATAATGAGCCAGGTTCTACTCACTGTTATCCAGCGTGATTAGAAATATCCTCTGRATCATGTGATTGACATTGAGCTGTTCACAAAGCTCTTGTCGTGACCGAAATGAGCGACTAATCTCTGCCACGGAGTCATCGTTGTCATCAACGCTGTCTGAAACGGARTTTTCTGACTCCGACTGGCTCTCTCCTGAGTCCTCCACTGTCCCGGAGGAGAAAAAAGGGGGTGTTACATTCAGCCMAAAGTTTAGCAGGAAACAAAGAAGGCAGATTGTTTTTTTAGCRCTGACATTGAATTCAAATATGTGGCCACATATTCAGATTTTGTTTGTAAAATTTACCTACACTGTTGAGATGTTTTCAAAATGTGTCCTTTCAAAATAAAATAACATTGTGTTTATATGAAAMAAGAGGATGTTTAAACTGCAAAACAGGCAAAAAGCTGGAGGTCTAGTGTTTTAGTTCTTTCAAGGCTAAAATAGAACCATAAAAGGGAAAATATAACATGCAATGGTTTAAAACTTAAAGCTCTATGAAAACTTATTTGGACTTACTGATCTGCGAATAACAATGGTTTTGGAAAATGTCAAGATGTAATAATGTAATAATACACAACCACGCATTCCACTGACCAACTAAAGATCTCAAATTAAGATGTCTTCGTTTAAATTATTTAAATTTCCATTTCCACCATGCAAAATGTATTTGAAATGTAGCAGCTAAACACCACACGTGATAGGCAAGGCAAAAACTGAAAGACATCTGATAAAACTACACATTTACAAAAAAAATCAAACAAAATAGCACCGCAGCACAGCTGCAGAGGAGCAGCAAGGAGGTTTAACTAACTCAAAACTGTTTGTGAACTCTGCAACTACAGAATTATTATCAGGTAAAAATCGGATCCAACACTGTGTTTGATTAAAGCCTCGTTTTGAGGATGACTGCAACAAGACGTAAATTTTAGTCTTTATACATTCAAACAAATCCACATATAGGGCTGTTCACTGATGTCAGATTTACTTTTCCATACATACTTAAATTATTTTGTCACTAATTGCTATTGACTGCAATAATGCTAGGAATATGTTATGCCACTTCTGTTTGACTTAAATATGAATGTGTATGTGCTTATGGGGTTGTGAATACTATTTTTTTTTTGCTTTGAATTTATTTCTTATAGACAAAAGTATATGAATACCATATTTACATATTATTAATGCACTACTAATATAATATATTATGAATATATTACACTTTGTGTAAGAAATAATAGAGATAAGGGGTAGGATTAAATAAGTTTATACTTCTTTCTACTTCTTTTCAAACAGATAAAACACTGTGTGTTCGTTATCTACCCAGTTACTGATATGTGCACAATATTTCTTTTGTTATAATTAAAAAGTATCAGTTTTTGTGGCCGTCTGTGTGTATTGTCTTTTCTTTTTGTTTCTTAAATACTCTTTGCTTCGTGGCCGTTTGAACCGGTTTGAAATAAATACATAAATAAAATAAATACATTCACGTGTTGTTATTCAGCACAAATGTAAGCGTGTGAGTCTAACAGGAATTTATGCTCTACTCACATGGTGGCTCAGCAGACTGCTGCTGGGCTTTTTGGTCAGATGCAAACTGTTTGGCATCCGCTAGTGAACCGAAGAGGGCAGCGAAGGGGTTGCAGGAGATGTTGTGGTTGTTGTTGCCCTGGTCAGTCATCTCACTGGGGCTCAACACTCACTCCATCCACGATCCCAGCCTCAAGGAGCAATAAACACAGCAAACAGTCCTACAAACAGGTAAGTTGAGGTTGGATTTACCATCATGGCTCACATTTCTCCTCCCAGAAACTAAAGAAACAGCTGCAATATGTTTACACTTTATTTTAAAAATGGAAACACACAAAATAATGTTTTTTTTTCATGAAAAATTCCTGAAAGGAATATTTTAGCATAAAGCTGTTTATGAAGGGTAGATTTCCACATCTTTTTGTTTTTACAAACCCTATGGAACAAATGCATGAGTCTCCTTAGCTTTTGCACAGTCAGTAACACTGATCTATCTATAAAAACACATCAAGTTGACATTTTTTAACTAGTTTGGAAAGCCGCATACCAGTACTGTACAGTACAACATTGTCTGTTGATGTTTAAAGGTTTTCAGAAAGAAAAAGAAAGTAAAAACTCAATGATTTGAGTCGTTAGGACAGAGTGAGCTGTCATTAAATCTCCACGGTGCTGTCAGGATATCGATCGCTTCACATTTAAACACTCAGTTGAGCTTATACCAACCAACGTCACGGTTTTTTAAGACGGCCATACCCATTCACTTATTAGTTTCAATAGTAGAAGCAGATTTAGCTACTTGAAACACTGACAAGATAGCGGGGCTAACTTGTTAGCTCACCGTGAAGCAACAAGCTAAGCTGTCATAAGGTCACAACGGATCAATTGCATCATTTATTTACGAAACCAGCACACATCCTTTACGTGTTTCCAACCTGAGCAGTGTATACAAACAGTAAAGAGTGCTGTCGTACCTGTTTAACGAGCAGAAATGACTGATTCTGAGTTAGAAAATAAAAATGCTTCCATGAACGAAGCTAGCATTTCCTCGGTAAACAGAAGCTGTAGCCGTCATCAAAGCGGGACGACGCGTCCGCTTCTTTCCATCACGAGCAACATATGCAAACCTGTAGGACTGCATGCCAGCACAAAGTTTTGGATTTTGCAATTATGTGCATTGTTCGTATGCCTTTTTTCCCTAACACTTCAAGTCATCTAAACTACATTTATTAGCTCCTTTATCGAGTTAAATTTCTGCAGTACCTCTGTGGAACGGCAGGTGGCAGCATTGCACCTGGCCTGGTTCAAACCAGAGCCTGTCCTTCACTTTGCAGCTAAAAGGATCAGTGAAGGGAAACTAGAACTGAGCGGAGCTGCGTAGGGAGGCAAGGGCCAGGCTACATTGCACCATGTCGCCATGTCTTGAATAACCATGTATCTTTTGAGTTTTTTTTTTTTGAAAACTTATATTGTGTACAAAACAAGTAAGGGGAGTAGATTTGACAATATTACAGTTTTCAGAACAAACCAGGAAATGAATGGAAGCCCATTTCCGCCACCCTGATAGAAAAAATTAATAAAACTTGTATCTCATAATTATGACTTAGCTATCTCATAATTATGACTTATCTATCTCATATTTATGACTTATCTATCTCATAATTATGACTTATCTATCTCATAATTATGACTTATCTATCTCATAATTATGACTTATCTATCTCATAATTATGACTTATCTATCTCATAATTATGACTTATCTATCTCATAATTATGACTTATCTATCTCATAATTATGACTTATCTATCTCATAATTATGACTTATCTATCTCATAATTATGAGATAGCTAAGTCATAATTATGAGATAGTTTCTCATAATTATGAGAAACAAGTTTTATTTTTTATCAGGGTGGCGGAAATGGGCTTCCATAGCTAGAAATGAGTAGTTTTATAACAAAAAAATTCAAAACAAATAAGTGAAATAGAACAAAACAATAATGGCATAGGCTAGGCATCTTATTTAAAATAGCAAGGACTTAGCAATGTTTTCACACATTGTGGCAATTTTCTTATTAGAATTAGAGGCATATTTAAGTGATTTTAAAAAAATCAAAGTAATTCAGAAAAACAGTGAACAATGGAGGGGTATTTTTCCATTTACATGTATGGATAAAGGATTTACATAAAATGATTACAAGATTGACGATATCAGAATCACCAGGCACCAAACTATCCGTAAAATAAAGAACATCTTTAGATGTAAAAGTAGGTATATTAGAGATTTTAAGTGAGACCCAACTATGAATATCAGACCAGAACACACTAACTTGTTGACAGCTGCAGAATAGATGAACTGTTGTTTCTATTTCAGAGGAATCTTCTGAGATCACTGTACGTATACTGTATGTAGTTCTTCTCACAGTCAGCAATAATATGCAAGCAGCACAATGAAAAGCAAGATCCAGAGACTAAAGTTTAGGTTGGACTTTAAAGTCATTATCTATCTCATAAAGTCTTCACAACTATTTTTTGAAAATAGAGAGAATACGGCACCTTAACAAACCTGAGGAAACCACTAAAACAAAGCTAGAACGGACTTCATGTTCTTGAGACTATTTATTTTAATGTCTGAATTGAATGTCTGGTTCAGTTAATTCGTTGATAATCTGAGGTTCAGATGCAGAGACAAGTCCAGGAGGGACAACAGCTCTTTCTGGGGGTTTTGAGGACATTCCCAAAGCCACAATGGATATATAATCCTTCCAATTGGAAGGGATGAGGACCTGTTACTTTAGAAAGCAGTTCAGATTGTAACGTCTCATACCAGTCAGATTTAATTTTATTTCCTTGTACCCACAGCTTTAAAGCTACGTTTTGAGATTTGCACCAAACAGACGAGCTGTTTCAATCTGGTAAACTGGAGAACTCTTGAACTCTGCTCTTGTCGTGTTTTGATAAAAGGATGTCACAGACATTTTATCGGAGACCTCAGGAAGTTATTTTAAAACAATGGCAACATGTGTTTCCTTTACCAACAAGTTCTGGTTTCAGTTTCAGCAAGACGCCCATTTTCTGACAATCAGCTGAAAACACAAAATAATGCACAGAAAGTGGGAAATACCAACCAGAAATGAGTGTGGTTTGCAATTTTAACTGAATACGTTGACACTGATGCTCTAAAAGAATTAAATAGTTTACGTTAACCTGAACAGGCAGCTTTTTGTTTATAACAAAATACAATTACAGCTAAAACACTTGACACCTTGATACACAACTTTTTAACTTTTCACACTTGTCAGCACCCACTGCCAAAAAAGCTTAAGCTAATAGAAACTAATTATTTTCAGACCAAGATTTGAACTATAAAAACATAAAAAACTACAGATGATTTTTTTTATATTTGTTATATGTTTTATCAAACTTTTTGATGATCATTTCAGATGTGAGCCAAAACTGGTCAAACAGGTTTGGAAACAGTTTTAATTTGAACATAAAATATATACATGTATATACACTAATATTTTACCAAATTATCATTTTGACAACATTTACTCAACTTAAAAATAAAAGAAATAAGAGCAAAATTCTAAAAAGATAAGTCACTGTACATAAAGTTATTTAGAAAATGTTACTTTTGAACAAAACATATATATAAATGAAGTGTTTGATCCTTTTAAGTTCCTGACATGTTCATCTGGAATTAAATACTCTAAACAAACACTTTTCAATGAACGACACCCATCGTTCATTTACAATACAGTGACAATAAGGAGGTTGACAATATATCAAAATAAGGCACGTTTACAGTCTGTATGCAGAGTTTTGAAAATGCTGTTGTTCCATGTGGTCACAGTTTCCATTTTGTTTAATTCATTTATTCAAAAATAAAAAAATTTATACACAAAAAAAATCACATTTTAAATGAAAGGAAGCAGAAGAAAAAAATATACATGCCCCCTTTTTTCCAAAATTTATTTTTTTCAACTACAACAAGTGATATGCTTAAAAAATAACATAAAATAAAAATAAATAAAATAAAAATACAAAATAAATCTAATGGAATGAAATGAAAGGCAGCAGAAAGAAGAAAAATCTTATATCTGTGCCTTTTCTCCATCAAATAAATTTATCAATAATGATCTTTATGTAACAAAACAAAATAATGAAATATTTCAGTCGGTGAAGGTTTGTTTGCAGTAGCTCTGTTCTTCATCACTCGGGAGTGTCTTTATGGCTCTTTTTTTCCACCACATAATTAACCACATTTTTACTACTCATCACATCCATCCAGTAATGAGGGGACAATCGTTATTTGCCGTACTGTGCCCCTTTGCCCAGTTTTAGCCAGTCCTTCCAGGGGGACTGGACTTTGTCCTGGTTAGTGTCTGAACTGCAGGAGGAAGAGGAGGGCTGGCGCGTCCAGGTGGAGAGCTGTCTGCTGGGCCTGCTGAAGAAGGACAAACCGTTGGAGGCGGCCTTCTTCGGAGGCTTCTCCGACTGCTGCTGAGACTTCAGCTGCTGGTTGATGACGATTTGGATGTCGTCCTGGAGAAAAGACAGGATGAGAGTGAGAGGCAGGTCTAACAATAATTAACAATAATAATAATAATAATAATAATAATATGTAGGAAAGAAAAATATGCTGCACTGAATTTGGGAAGTAAAACTGTTAACCTGTTTTGTACCAATTCTCTGTTCAGGACGATTTGAGCCGATCAGAAATCATTTTAAAATAAAAGCCTAAAAGAATTAAACTTGTGGGGTGTCACCAAATCAATGACGACAGTCTCTTTTTAAAAACCTTATAAACCCTACAATTACAGTTCATTAAGATTCCTTGTAAGGGTACACTTTAAACAAAAATCGAACTTGATTAGCACTCAAAGCATATGTTTGGAAATACGCTCAGCGACTAACGCACAGAAATTTAGTTCAATATCTGTAAAACTGAAAGAGTTTTAGCCTTTTTTGTCTATGCTAATAGTAATTAGATGTGACTCCAAAAGTTGTAGATTTGCATTCAGTGGTCTACTTTTTTCACTAAAATGCATCCACTGGTTTATGAAATATTTTACTAACAGACACACAAAGGCATTTACGTGATTATCTGCCTTTTATGGCAGCAGCCTATAATACATACAATAAAGCACTTGTGTCAAACTCAAGGCGGTGACTTCCATCCGTCAAACCAAGCTTTATGGTCGYACTAATCTGTACGTACAGATGAGTCGTGTTGTCACTGAAATTCAAATATTCATCATTTCTATAAGTGAAGTGAATATTTTACCATCTTTAACATCAACTGTTAGAAGTGGTCCCATTTAATGAATAATGCATGTTTTATTTCCTTCGGGGAGGACATTTAAATCTGGGGGAAATGAATCATTGTTTTGGTTTAAATCTTATCTTCATCAGCGATTAGAGTCTAGGCTGACAGATGGCTCAGCTTGGCGTAGTGACTCAGCAGCAGAGGACACCTGCTGCTCATGTCTTCTGGAAACTGTCAGGACTGCATCTGTCCCACCGAGGACAACACAACTCTGCTCCCATTAAATCATAACAAAAACTGCAAATATTGAGCTGTGAAATTTGTGGTTTTAGCATCAGGAGCTGATTTTTTTTTCGTGTGTTTTAGTAGGTTTGTGAGCAAAAAAAAAAAAAAAAGAGTTACAGGACAGACTTTATCAAAATTCTCAAAGCAATCAAGTAATTATTGGATGGACCTTTTGAAATTGACCCCACTCAAGATGGCTGCCACAGCTAAAGAACTTAGCAAAACAAAACAAGTGCTGCAAGGTGGAAGAATATAAACTTATATAAAATAAAAATATTATTATAAACCTACTTATGCTAAAGCGGTAGTTTTTTAATTGTTTTTATTATTAAAGCATGTAAAACATAAACGAGAGCCCTGTGTTGTTTTCCCCCAAAATAAAGTTGTGATTTAAACAGAAACGGTGAAACTCACCTGCCAGGCCTCCAGCTCCTGGGACAGCTCCAGCTTACGATGGATTGCGTCTAATAACTGGTTGTTCAAACACATCATGTCCTGTTTGCTTCTCAGCAACTCGACCTCCATCAGGTTTTTCCTGCAGAGAAATATTTTCAGTCAAATACGGGATTTTTTATATTATTATTATTTTTAAATTCAGAATGTTCAAACTCATATCAGCAAAAATGTATATCTAGCTTCTTGTTTGGAAACAAAGAAATTGAATCTTAAAAGTTTTTTTTCCATTATGGTTGAAAATGTCAACATGATGAGTTAGTTACTTGGCTATAGCTTCATCCCGGTCTTTAACAGCTTGTTGAACAAAGTCGGTCTGATCTTGTATGTTCTGCAGCTTTTGCAATAACTTGGCATTCTCCTGCTGCAGCTGGAGGTTCTGCAGAAAAAAAGGTAAAAAAATAAAGTTTTTAATTAACCAAAAGCAAGCGAGTATCTAAAAATTGTGTTTAAGAGCTATAACAAAGTTTGAAGCAAAAATAATGTGTTTTTGTGGGTGTGATGCTTCTGTTCTTGGAGCTACAACAAACTGCAGAGACAAGAGGTCACTGGTCCCGCCACAGGCACKGTCCCTGTTTGACAGACGTGTTTATTCATCAGCAGGTTACCTGATCTCTCAGCTCCCGGGCTGCGCTCAGATTCCCACAGTGATCGGCCGTCCTGTCCACAAAACCCAGATTCACCTCCTGGGGCAGAGACATTAGCAAAGAGATCAGTTGTCAGCCACACATGTGCAGGAAGAAAAAAAAAAAAAAGAGGTTTCTGTGGTGTTCGCCTTCATGGATGGTGATCTAAAGGGGGCAAAGAGGCAGGGCTGGATATTTARTTACACTGAATAAGGGATGTTTCAGCTCTGAAAAGCACAACTGGACAATTGTATMGCTTGTGCGAGCACGCTAACTGCAACAGGAAGCTTAAATCAGGCTGCTCTCTGATACTTTGTCCTGTCTTATGTGTGTGTGTACATGTGTAGTGTTTTGCCACTTTTTGCTTTAACGGCTCAAACTTTTTCTGCAAAGTCATTCATTGCTGTATTTTTACAAATCATTCAGTTTCTCAATTCTTTTTTTWAATTTTGTACTTACTCATTACTGTTTAACTTCTAACAGAACAAATCTAATCCTGACAGTTATTCTGCTACAAAGATCTAATGTCTTGATCATAATATTCATGATGACTTACTATCCATGTAGAGTAAATTACTGTGATTCAAAGACTTTTTAATAAAAAAAAAAAACCTTCTGGGGAAACACGTTGCAGCTTTCTGTCTCAGTTTGTCATGACTCTCACCTCAGAGTTGGACGTCTTTGCCAGATTTTGAGCCACTCCCTTCAGTTGGTGCAGCATGGCCTGCAGGTCCTCCGGTTCATCCACGACCTCTGACCTCTCTGAGCTGTTCAGGACCTGGGTCAGAGGGAGGAGTAACTGGAGGATGGAACCCATTTCTTGTGCCATCTGTGTAAAGAAAACATTAACAGAAATATAACAAAGTGTCAGGCAAAACTTAGATGTTTGACATAACTTTATTTTTATTCAAGGAAGGCCTTTACAAAATAAATACATTTATAATTAAGAGGTTTAAATGAAAAGCAAAAACAAGAATCCAAACAAACCACCTTGATGAGTGATATCAGTTATTTACATAAAGCGAGGTGGACATTACCTCAAGATGACAACATTACCTCATGATGACTATTTTAAACTCACCTGACCAAACTGGTCCCACACGTTTGCTAATTTGCTCATGAGGATTTCTGAATGAGTTCCTTTTTGACATAATAGGTTTAGGTTATGTTTACACAAACCTTTTGTCAAATATTAATCCAGCATCTTGTGACTCAAACCTTCCCAAACATCCGTCCCCTCAGGTGAATTTTACATGCTGTCGTCATGTTATTGTTACAAAAGATCCGAAACTATGGAAGCTCGACAATGTAGCCGTGATAAGCAGGAAATGTAGTGAATACCTCCTGCGTGCCGTTCTGTATCCCACCTTCCTGTCAGTAACCCGCTAGAGAGTGTGAGGATTCTCTGTTCCCTCTCAGACGTTGTTAGGAGTCTGATTTTATATTTCTTACACTTTGAAATTCACTATATTTGCACCTTCTCGCTCTCGACAAACCCAAGTCACACTGCCACACTGAGAACTGCACAAGCTGTTCTATCATCGTGTTCCTTTCAGCAGAGAGAGACGCTGTTTTTACTATGAAATGTGGGCTTTTTGTTCTGAAATTTAGCATCTACACGACGCAATCGTTCTGTATAATTGATTTGTGCAGATTGTTCCAATAAAACTTTAACATTCTTCTCTTAAGACCCACTTCCTCCTAAATGCAGTCCAAACAAACCCATTGGGGAGTTACATGTTTGTCGCAGAGCCTCGCCGTCTCGTGTGATAAACATTTCCGTTTCCTGGCCAAAAAAATAAAAATAAAAATAAATTTCCACAATCATTTTAAATCTGCTTTGTCATGAGCAACCAAAACCGTTTGTGCAGACCTTGTAATCTGTGGTTCATAATCATTTTCTCTGCAATTATGTTTAGCAGCAGCTCTGTGAATTTAATGCTGAATCACTTTCAGGTAAACCTCTTGTTTGTTTGCCTGTTTTTTTTTATCACCCAAACCTAAAGGCTTGTTTGTCTGTAGTGTTAGCGAAATATCTCTTGAACCAGACTTAATGAAGCTCTCAAAGGAACCACTGGGTGAACATCAACTCCAAAATAACGTTTGGTATGGTGGTAGCTGAGCATGGTCCCCAACATGCCCTCAGAGCCCATTCTGAAATGTTTTTGCTTGAATCTTTGTCGTTCACGGTGTTATAAAACCAGTTCATTGAGCTGATGGTGGGAAACGGCCGCTCACCTCTGCTTTGCTGACTCCTAAATCCGCCGTCTCCAGCTCGGACTGCAGGGAGGCGTCCAAGTGGCTCCTGGATTCTTGCAAGGTGACCTCCTCCTGCAGCCCCTCCACCTGAGCCTGCAGCTGCTGGGAGCGGCCCCGCGCCACCTCCGCCTCCTGCAGCGCCTCGACTAACTAAAAAACAAGAAGCGACGTGCACATTTAATTATATTTATATTTTACACAAAACATCTGTTACAATCGTTTAAGTGGCGGAGTGGAAAAACTAGGCAGGCTCTCTGTTGAAGAGAAATCCAGATGAGCCAGATTCCAGCTGACCTGAAACTAAAGCCGAGAGGAATCCAGACTTGTGGGTTAATATTTCAAAAGCAGGGATGAGGTGATTGTTCAGCGAGTCTTTTCACAACATCGAAACCCAGGAGTGAAGAAAAAGTCCTTGTAGTCGAAGAGCTCRTGGTGCTTTTGTTTTGCTTTGTTTTTCTGTATGCAAGGTGTGCGTGCACATTTCAGTGATTACCTGCTGCTTTTGCTGCTGGTTCAGTTGATCATGCAGATCTAAACGCGCCTGYAAGGAGATCAAACTCGCTCGGAGCTCCGCGTTTTCCTGAGACACRATCTCCAAACGCTGCTCCAGCGTCTGCTCCTTCTGCGTTAGTCGTAATACCTGTAAAACAAGCAAACACGGACCTTGGTTAAGAGATTTTAATTTAAATTGAAATGCTCAGTTCCTTCCCATAACAACTGAAAGCTGGAATGCCTAAATTAGCTATAGATAATGACAACAAAATGAATGCAATAAGGTGAAACATCAGGGACACCTTTGAAAGAAAATAAACTGAAAAGAAAAAAGGTGGTGCAGTTTGTTCTGGTTTGTTTATGAGGACAAGCACTTCAGCCATTTTTTTTTTTTTTTACAAAACTGAGGATTAGGATGTTGTCTGGCCTGCTGCCATCATCTAAAGTTCCAAAATGTCACATCTGTAAGTATGTATTGACTGTACCTGTTCCCTCATGGCACTGATCAGCTCCTCGTCCTGCTCCCTGTTGTGGCTTCCCTTTTGTCTCAAATCCTGTTTCAGAGCCTGGAGTTCGGTGGACACCACTCGTTCCACCTCCATCGCCTTCAAACACACATAAGAAAAAAATGGTTTTCTAAACTATGTAAAGAAGCAAAAAGGGACAGAACAGCTTGGTTGTACATTTTACTTAAAGTAGACCTGCTTGTTTTGAGGACATTTTCCCTTCAGTTTTGTCTTCAGCAAGTAAAACACTTGCTGACTTTAGTTAACTGTAACCACAAGCAGCAGCTAGCTGTAGCACTTCTGGCAGAAAACATCACAATATTTTTGCCAGAACCATTTCTGAGACATGTTTATYCCAAGAGGTTACGAAACAAGAGCTAAAACAATAAATGGAATGCCCCTGTCCCAGATCTGAAGCCCCAGTGATCGGACCACCTTTCATCTCCCACTCAAATGACCCCTGATTTCCCCTTACTCAGCGGTTTTGCAAGCCCCTGTCAGGTCCCATCATCGCCACATAATACAAGATAATAGGCTGGCCCCTGCAAAAGATGGAAGCGAGGAAATTTCAACTGCTTCATGCCACATTAGACAGCAGAGGGTAAACCTGAGCGTCACGAGGGCTGAAGTTTGAAAGACGAGCTCGTGTCGGAATGAGCGTAAAAAAGGGAGCGAGGCAGGACAAAATAAGAGGGGGGGACGAGAATAAAACGGACACTGATGGGCAAAAACAAAACACTGCATGAAGACGTGCTGTGTGGAGACAAAAAAAAGAGGCCCTTCASTTCTCATCATTAACGTGGGCCTCTTCTAGAAAAGAGGTGGCACTGAAAATCACCCAAACATGAATGGAAGAAGGATGCTTTATTATAAACAGCCCCCCCCCCACACACACACACACAAAGCCTGATCGTTACAAAACACACAGAGGTATCAACCAGCTGACAACCCCAAAGCCCTCAGGGAACCCTCCCAAAACAGGACTGCTCTCCCCCGGGATGTCTGGCCTCGAGAGGCAACACGAAAAGCAGAAAAAGCCCCTTCATCTCTCTCTCTCTCTCTGTGATGTATATTATTGTCTTTTCTGTTTTGCTCTGGGAGCTTGGTGATGCTGACGGAGGAGAGCAGAGGTCACGGAAGCCTCGTCTGAATTYAGGCAGCTTCACGTCCGATAACGGAAATCCACAGAGAGGGATTCATCTCAGCTGTCCAATAAACACACCGTTAACCCACAGCCAGCGGCAGTGATCACACGACACGGAGTGGAAACGAGAGGTGAAAAGGTGGACGGACGAGTCAAGTGCAAGTCTCAGAGAAAGACTGCTTTTGACACAAACTGAAAGAGAGAAATATACTTTGGTACAGAGTCTCTTTTGGGGGCTTTGTAACAAATAACATTGAATAAAGAGAAAATTGTCATGCTACAGGTTTAAACAAAGATCTCGCACCAAAGTGACAAGTTTCAGYTTAATATTTGCTGTTATAGTCATTTATGTGCTGCTAAAGTTAATTATGAGTTGTAGATGTACAGCCAATGATGCCTTTGAGATTTTCTGTCTTAAATCTCGTACAGTTTAGGTTTTCTCCTAATAAATTTTATTTCACAATCATTAAAAATGTTGTGGATCTTCTATTCTTTGTACCATTAAGACTTGAGCCAAAAAACTTTCTGTACTCATACATTTTGAGTTCTTTGATGGTTTGGTCAACTACTCGTGCAGTTTTTTCACCATACACTAAATTAAACACTGTGGGTCCGTGAGGATTTCTTCTTGGCTTTACTAAACCGGTTATGACAAACACGTGTTGATGCAAATACAGAGTGACATCCTTTATGACAAACCTGAACAGCTGCAGTTAAAAGTTCAGACATTGTTTCAAGTCTTTTCTGTTTTTATACAGTCTCACATGGTTCACATGAGTTTCCAAGAAAAAAATAATGGTCTGATCTTCCAGATTACATCAATAAAATGAATTACCAGGAATTTGTGGCTGGTTGTGAATCCTGTCCATTCAGCGGTCTCTGCAGACCGTAATGTTTACAATGAAACATGTTGACTGAGAAGCAACGACTTCAACACTTCACCATGAGGATAAAGACAGAAAGGCGCAGTGCAAACACAGTAGAAATAATTATTGGCTAAATTCATTGTGTGTACAGTAAATGCTTATGTGTGTGTAGACAACAAATTTGAAAAACACTGAAGATCAGGGTTTCCAGACAGGAAATGATGAAATAACGTACTGCTGTTTTAAAACTTGTATCATGTGCAAAATGAGGGTGCTTTTTCTTGCTTATCATGGTGTGGACTTTTAAAAAACAATTTATTGTACATAAACCTTAAAGTACATGGCTACATGAATGAATGAGCTAACATCATTACCAAAGTATAGAGCTCTCAGTCACCTTTAGTGACTCAAGTCACTTAAGTGATCACCTTTACTTTCATTCTTATGAATTATTTTTGTAAAAAAAAAAAAGGAAAAATAAACCTCAAATACAAAAATTCATTTGATATTAAACAATTTCCAAATCTGTGAAAATCCCTTTCTTATTTCTGGAAACAACCTGGAGGTTACTAACATTTCCAGCTTATCTCCATACCCAAACTCCTTTTCCAGCCTGGGATTTCTTAAGCACAGTTTTACTTTTGAATTTGTGAGGCACTGATAATGTTTCCCAGAAGTTTAAAGAAATATCTCAGTCATAATTTCCCGTTATCTGAATTAGATTTGATGTTCTGCCTTGTGAAAATCCCCCCTCGTGTCAATCCACTAATAASCACACAAGCTTGACAAAATCATCACTGTTCAACTTAAGAACTTTCAGGTGATTTAAGAAGACAAAATATATTTGTGACTTGTCAGGTGATCAGAAGTTAAATAACCAGTCGGCTCACACACCTATTACACAATGGCTTCAGTTTACATAAGTATGTGACATTCTGGCTTGTACACTATTTTTATTTTTAGTTTTTTTGTGCAGCTGCTTCCTAAAATGAGCCGGMACGAAGACTGACGGAACATTCCTCATCGCTCCATCTTCTTTATCGCAGGAATGTTTTGCTCTTGCTTCTGAACTCTSATGTTCCTGAGGTGAGGTTAAAGAGCTCTCCTCCACATTCCTGTCGTGCTCCGTTTACTTGTTGCAATTATAACGTAGTTTCAGCCTTGAAGAACCATGAACACAGAAATGATTTGTGCCATCTCACACAGGGACAATTGTCATAACATTTTTGTTTTGTTGCTTTGCTCAAGTGCTTGTGTCGAATCCTGCAAACCATACTGGGCTCATTCTTGTAAAACCTGATCGCTTGTCAAGCTTGTGCCACCAATGACCGATATGGATGTGACTTTAGACAAATGCCTTCTTTAAAGGGATCCCTGATTAGTTGTAACATTAGACTTTATTTGATAAACATATACATTAACTGTAAAATAAAGACTGTAAAAATACTGTAGGGAATTTAGTTTTGTAAATTTTTAAAAATATATTTTGACACGGATGGAGCCATTTTATTTACACACAAAGCATTCTGGGTAAATGATGACGTGGATAGGTCCTCGGTGTGAACAAGCTATATCCACCCTGAAGATTAATCTTGGACAATATCTGACGATCGACTCTTTTAAATGAAACCAGAGAGCGTTGACAGAGAGGAGAAGGTAGAAATGACTCAGCCTGTAACTGAAAATATGGATGGAGGACAACAGAACTGCTTCATGGAAGAACCTCAGCTTAGTCTGTTAGCCTTTGCGCTAGCGCAGACGCTATATTGCCTTATATGTATTAGCTCGGCGCTAGCGTGACAAACTAGCTAAACTGAGGTCCTCCATCCATATTTTCAGTTGCTGCTGAATTATTTTTGTGTTCCCCTCTCTGTCATGTGGATGGAGGACCTCAGTGATGAGAGGAGAATGTGTAGCGCTGAGCTAATACATATACAGTACATGGTGATAGCGTCGGGGCTAATGCTAAAGCTAACAGACTAAGCTGAGGTTCTTCTTCCATGAAGCAGCTCTGTTGTCCTCCATCTGTATTTTCAGTTACAGGCTGAGTCATTTCTACCTTCTCCTCTCTGTCAACGCTCTCTGGTTTCATTTAAAAGAGTCGATCGTCAGATATTGTCCAAGATTAAYCTTCAGGGTGGATATAGCTCGCTCACACCGAGGACCTATCCACGTCATCATTTACCCAGAATGCTTTGCATGTAAATAAAATGGCCCCGTCCGTGTAATATATTTTTAAACTTTTAGTTTAAAAATTATAAAAACTAAACAGCCCACAGTATTTTACAGATTTATTTTACAGTTAAAATATATGTTTATCAAATCAATTCTAATGTTACAACTGATCATGGATCCCTTTAATAAATTTAATGTTGGTTCGTTYGAACAAGCAGCATTAAAATGTGTACCATGATGGGTTTTATAAAATTACTAAATTATAATAAAAATTTACCGGCAGAAATTTCCTCTAACATTTAATACATTTTTTTCTTCAGGCTCTGTCTGAGTTAATCACCACATCATCGGCACTACAGTACTGAGTAAGTTTTAAATGCTTTAATTTTGGTACATTTTTGGTCTCCACTCTGACCTTGTAATTTTCAGTGGTCTTGATGACTAATTATCAGGACCTCTGAAGATCTTTCAAAGTTGTTGTTTTTCACTCATTTACCATCCAATTCTTTTACTTGAGCACGACAGCGCATCGTGCCATCTGTGCTTTAGAAAAATGAGGTAAAGTGAAGAAAAACAAGGAGAACAAAAAGGAAGTATCARGTCCAAAAACATCTACATTAGATGAATAATGTATAAAAAGTCCCGTTTTAGAAGTAGAAAATGAAATCCAAATAAATCTTTAAACAGGACAAGAAGAAACATCCTTCAGTTCAAAACCTAAAAATTTAAACTAAAACTCTGTTGTAATTGCCTTGTTGATGCTAAAAAAAAAAAGCCTTTTTAAATGTATCAAACTGTTAAATTTAGGATTTTTCATTCAGGATGTGTGAACAAGAATTAAAACAAATTATGTCTTTGTGACTGGTTGCTGGTAATAAAATTACAAGAGAGCTTTAGCTACTTATTAGCTAAAATTAGAGTTTTTAGAACTCACAATATCACAATATTTAGAACTAATATACAAAAGTTTGTTTAAATCCAATATGCTTTTTCAGTCAAAGCCACCAGTTCCACGTTTAATTACTTATTTTATAAGTGTTGAACTAAATATTGTCTCTAGGAACATGTAGCAGTCTTCCTCCTTTTGTGAAGTCACCTGATCCTTTCAGCACATTAGTTAATCAGATAAAACCAGCCAGGACTCACCGCACCAGGCAGCGAAGCAACAACGCTCTCCTCAACATCTGGAAACGAAACACCAGACATGAAGCTTCAGTACGTTCTCGTGTCAAACACATTCGCTCTCTTGTCCGATCCTTACGGCCTCAAAAAGTCCAGAGTTAGCCGTGTAGGATGCCGGGCGGACAAATAAGACACTTCCTCCACTTTGAAAGCTTTGATCTAAATTGACTTTTTCCTGAACTTTAAAGGGGGAGTCTGTTTAGTCCTTCAGCGTGACCACAGAGTGGGAAAAACATCCACAGTTTCCTTATTCTCTGGACCTTGACTTATGGGAGGGTTATAGTTGCTGCTTGGATTCATTTTTAACTTTTTCGAGCTCAGGTCGGTTTTGAAACAACACGAGCAGCAGCTCTGCAGAGGGACCGGTCATCTGTAACGGTATGTTGCAAACATCCAGAGGAACACGCCACACTTTTCTCAGGCTGGAAAATTACTGAAGGTCGTCCAGCCGAGGGATCTAATCAGCTCCTCCATGTTTACTGATAAAGAAACTGTGAAGTATGTGCCGCTGGCTTGAGTTTCCTCGGGATAGACATCATAAAACCTGGACCTGAACACGTAAGCTGAACGATCTGAGTCAGCAKTATGGTGTCAGTGTTCTTAACCATTACGTCAAGAAAGTTTAAAAGTTAAAAAGGTGTACCTCAGGTTACTCATTAACCTGATTTAATAGGTCATGACGTTCTTGTGAAGTGCTGCGGTTGACGAAYAGTTTCATATAATCAATCCACCTGATTTTCTTAATTAATAGCCAGACATCTGGAAGAATTGGTTTTCATTAAAACAACAATGAAGTCATTTAGGTTACAGTATTTTAAGAATTAAGTTTTATTTTTATACTTTTGCTCAGTCAGTTGTAAAGTAATACCAGCAGATGTTTCCAAAGTTTTCTGGTCATCTTATAACGGCATCAACTTTCACTCCCCACCTTGTTTACATATAATTTCCATCCTTTGCGGCAGCAACTCGGATCATCTGCCGGCTGACAGCACCATAGCACCCGAATGACAAACATCACATCTGTCTTCCTGTTTAGTTAAAAACTATTATTTTATGATTGTAAAAACAAATATCAAACTCCAAGCCAACCGGCCTCCTGAGAGTCAGGTCTCGCTCCAGTTCAGACTCAGTCACTGTGATGTTTAAGTGGCCGAGCCTCAGGTGCTCAGCAGTGCGCAGATAATTTATCATCGCGTTCAGATCGTAGCACGACACTAGGAATCATCAAACTGGACTCACAGAGCTGAGCTCCTCCCTGAGGCGTTGGGTCTGCTCGCCGTGCTCCAGCTGGACTCGGCTCTTGTCCCTCTCGGCCTCGCCGAGCGCCCGGGTCAGCTGCCTCACCTGGCCGCTCAGCTCCCTCACGTCCTTCTCCAGCTCCCCCACCTGGCTCTCCCACTGGGACCGGCAGCCCTCCAGCTTCACTCGCAGCTCGTGCCGCTCCTGCTCCAGCTCCTTCAAACACAAGCGGAAAGGATGCAGGTGTTCAGGGGGGAAAAAAAACACAACGACGAACTCAAAATATAAAAATCATTYGGCATTATACAATTTATTTCTGGTTGAATAAATAAGACAAAGAACTGCAGAACAGCACGATGTCATGGAGCAGTGGTTCCCAGCATATTTTCCTCAAATCCCCCATTTCTTACTTCCAAGCTGAGTTAATCAGTTATAAAATATCAAGTTTATTTTTGTATTCAAATCATTTCTTCTCTTAAAATTTATTTGTCCAACTGCAGCAAATCTGAATGATATAATGAAAATGTGTCGACAATACAATATTGACATTGCAATAAATCACACACCTAAACTGGATGCTGTTAATGAATTTAGCATTTCAGCTACAGTAGTTTGGAGGAATGCAGTTCAAATGCTAAACGCTAAAGCAATATTTAACAGTGAGCACATATGAAATACTAGGGGAACAAGGAAAGTACTTATCACAAGTGACCACATTATCTAAATATTCTACAATTTCCAAATTTTGCATTAAACCAGGGTTATTCAACCAAACTGTTTCGGGGGCCACAGTTACTGCAGGTCAACAGCTGAGGGGTCGAACATCCAGCAACTAAAGTCATTATGTAAATAAACCAAGTATTACAAAGATCTGTTACCACTGAAGTAGTTTATTTTGCTTCATTTAATCATAAATACAACATACATAACCCTATAAAAGTAGTGATAATTAAACAATACCAAAAMCAAACAGAACACGTTGTACCCTCTATTTGACACAAATATTAATTTTGACATCTCACTTACCAATATGTTAAACCAATTTTATTTTCATAGTTTTATCTTTAATTGCTTTTAATTTTAAATGTCTTTAGTGTGCACATAAATGTTTTTACCAGCTTCTAGCCATGATTCTGACGTTTCTGTAGATACCAAATATGTCTATGTCTAACTAAAACAACTTATATTAATTAAAGTAGAAAACCAGGAGGGGCTGAGATGAATGAACCAATTGGCGGACTGCATTTTGGTCACTAGTGGGCCAGATGTGGGCCGCGGGCCGCCAGTTGAATGGCCCTGCAATAAACATTTGGTTAAATGTGAGAAATCACTGTGCAAACTGTCTCAAATCTGCTCAACACGACCAGCTCTGTGCTGAAAACAGATCCTCAGACTTATATTCTTCTTGTCATAGTTTATGTGACCATCGAAACAGATAGATTCAATCAGCAGTGATTCTCTGAAAGACAAAGATTTTACTTGGTCACGGCTGCTCAGGCGTGTTGATTGTGTACGACACAAACAGCCAACTGTCTTATCGTTAAACACTGAATTCGAGGAATCTGCACCAGCAGGTGTTTCACCAGAAAAAAAAAAAGTTGGTGGCCTGGGAAACATTGTTGTTTTGAAATTTCAGCTTCTGCAGTCACCCAAAAAAAAAAAAAAAAAAAAAAAAAAAAAAAGCTTCAGGTCTCTGTGTGGTCAAAGTGAGGTCTTTGAGTGTCTTTTAAAATGTAAATGGAACAAATTGTTGTTAATTGAGGCAGTTTGTGCAGAAAGCTGTGGTTTGCAGCTGACCTGCAAAACAACCCTGACCATGTTTGAGACCAAATAAATAAGCTCATCATGACCACAACAATTTTTATAGGTTTATCTTMACATCTATAAATTAAATGCTTTTAGGAATCATTACAAACATTTGATTTTAATTGTTTCAATATACTAAATTTGATGTTTAGTGGCCCATAAAGGGGTTCTGACTGGCAACCAACCATTGTACTAAACTGCTTATATTTTCTCTCCTCTCCTATGAGAGGAAAAGAAATGTAGCAGTTTTCAGTTCACTGGTTGCATTTTTTATAAACTGGTTCATATGAGTATTTAAGCATCATATGGAGATTTAATAAAACAACTATTGCTTTTTTTCTTGTTTCTAACATCTTGAATAAAACTTTACCTGGCTGATCCGACTGGATTGTATTCATAAAGTCAAAGATCTCTTTAATTTGACATCTTACGTTTCAATATTAAACCTAAACTCGCCCCAGTTTCAACCATAACAAAGCCTGCTGTTGAATATTTACGTTTGACTTCATTCAGCCCCATTTCTAAACGCTCAGTAGTAGATATTTAGCAGCTTTTTCTTACCTCCAGTCTGTCTGCGTATTGCTCATGGACCTTCTGGCTCTGCTCCTTCAACTGACGGTTTTCCAGGAGTAACGCGTTTCCCAGCTGCGCTGCCAAAATAACCTCTTCCTCCTTTTGTTTCAGAGCAGCCAGGAGTTCAGAGGGGTCCTGGTAATCTGTCATTTCCTCCGCTCCGTAGTCGAAGTAGAAGTCCTCCTCTAGGTCCATTTTCTTGGACTTGAAGCTCCACTCGTCTAGCCGATTCATTATCTAATCARTCGTGCCTCTTTGGTTCTCAGGACGCACAGACGCGCTGAAGTGGTGCCATTCACGCGCGTCCATCCATGACACCTGGCCGAATGATTCTCACAGGTGAAAGTAGGCTGACCCCTCCCCCTCTGTGTCTCCAAGTGGGCGTGGACTTCAGTCACCCGAGCACCCACCTGTAGTCTTGTTATACCTGTCCTCATCCGGAGTTCAACGCTGCGTCATTACGCAAATGTTCTCCTGAAACTCGGTGACATGCGGAAAAACGGACTTTTCGGGTGTGTGTGTGTGTGTGTGTGTGTGTGTGTGTGTGTG